TGACACCAGCACACAGCGTTGGAACGCTTTCACTTCCCCATCCTATCCATCCACGCTTGTCCCATTAGCCTTCATTCCATTACGGGGCCAAATAGGGCTTCCAGGGCTTCGTCATTGTTTATGTAAAGCAATTTCTCCCCGGATAAATTTTCAGTAATTCTTCACTGCATCTTGTTATCAACTCCCCCAGAAGATGTGCCAGTCGGATTGTGCCGTCAAGGGAAAATTGTTTTCTAATTCCATATTATCAGCATTGTGAATGGATCCTGGCCCCAAAGACCCGTCTAGACCTAGTGGGTGATGGCGGAAATTGCTAACAGCAGCAATTGGCCTCTGGACAAACAAGGCAGATGAGACCCTCACAAGCTAATCATAGCACAATGCATGTCAGGCTCTCTGCTGACAAAGGAATTTGCCTTTTATTATAGCCGAACAGGAAAGAATTTCAAAACAACCTCTGCATTATGATAGGTACAAAGGTGAAGAGTATTAAAGCTACTATGAGGCATTTTTAAGTTATTATGAAACTGACTGAAATTCATACTGATGCCTCTATTTGACATACAAAAGTAGTGTGGTTCATTTAAAGCCTGTTAATGCGTCCACAATTTAGGTGTCAGACGCTATATGCAGGGCGCACAGTGCCACAAACAGTGTCACTCCTGTTAGGAGTTTGTAACTGATTATGAAACAGGCTGAAATTAATATAGGCGACGCTCTACAACCTACAAAAGCAAAACAAACTATCAGCAACTAGATTTTTTATTTCTGTCTCGTTAATTTATTAGCTTTTAAACGATGCTTTAGGGTAGGTGTCAGACAATACAAAGGGTTACAGTGATTGATGTGTTTTACTGTTTAAATAAAGCAGAAGGAAATTTCTCATGAGACAAAATTACTTACACATGAATAGGCAAAGTTCAGCAAAGTATCCACCTTGGGGTGAAAAACAGAAATTGGAAGATTATAATGAACGCTGGCTGGAGGGGCCCTCAATTAATTTTTGCCTTGGGCCCCGACAGACCCTAGAATCGCCCCTGCTTGATACATGACCCAAAGTGTAGCGGAGAAACATTCTTACATTTGTGCTCTTGTAATTGCCACAAGTACAGACACCTTAATGAACCCCTTATTGAACTCAATTAAGTTGGCAGAAGTGTCAAATAAAATGTATTTTGTGGACGTTTTGTCCTAAACAACTGTCCAATCAATTGCAAACTAAATGTGATCATATTTGTTAAAGACACATTTTATCATCTCAGATCTATCTCAGATCATCTGTCTCAGCTTAGATCCTCCTCCACTTTCATACGACAGAGTCTCTACTAACCGCCATCAAAACTTGTGTCACACCAGCATGTAAAGACTGAGGTGATTATGTGTTGAAGAATCTTCATGTTCAAGCAGTATTTCCCCCTACTTTCATACTTTGCAAAGCTCTTTGCAAAGACCGTTCATGCGTGTCAGATGAAAACAAAATGTTCATTCTTGATTCCTGAAAAGCACATTATGCAAGGATGGTGCTCGCTGCTAATTGCATTACCTGAACTAAACCCCTTGTTCGGAGTCATAAATGCTTGTCTGGCACAGTCGAAACCGCTGTTGCTTGAGCCAACAGCACCAAACCATGCCAAAATGCCAGCAAACTTCCACTCAAATACAAAATAAAGCAAAAAGAACTTATAAAGATTTCAGCGATTTGAGCGGAACCTACATGAAGGTACAGTGTGCTTTGCATGACTTAGCAGCTTGCATGCTAATGCTGATGACATTATAAGAGGAACATATTTCAGAGCATTGTTTTTAAAAACAAGGCAGCTTCCTGAAAAAGACACATGTTAAAGTCACCATAGCATGAACTTTAATTTGCATTTTACAAATTGCTTAATCATTTGTACCAGACCTCATTATGGTATTATGTATTTTTATGCAGATGATCTATGATTATATCTTTAATTCTTATATGAACCCATTAGCCTTCGTGAAGGAGACAATCATGTCCATGTATAAACACACACACACACACACACAGCTACACAAACCCTGGCGTTCACACCAGCAGTGTAAGGGAGTCTACTCTGAAAGACTTATCATGCAGACTATCAGTTAGAACAGGAACCTGCATACACATGCTCGGAAACATTTGCTAAAAAACGTTGGTGCAAAAAAGTTCTAAATCCTGCACAAACACACACCGCCATCAACATCCAAGGGTATCTACCTCTCCCCATCAGCAGCACACAAAGTCGTTTTAGGACAGTCCCTTTCCCTCTCTTTTGATGCTAGCATCCCTCTCAGGGGAGCCGGTCCCCTTCCAGAGGGAAGGTGGCAACACCCCTGCTGCACTACTTTCACATCGTTGTATTCCAGCTGGGGATTCCATAGATGCAGATTTGCCCGTCCCCAAAGGACAGCCCACTGCTAATACGATTACAGAGCTTGAGACTTTAAGATAATTCCATGCATCTCCACGGCTAATTTCAGGGTAAGGCGGGCATGCGTGCCACATCCGCTTATATTGTCGCTCCTCGCCTGCTAAAGAGAGCACAAGAGTTGACTTATTACCACACAATGCTGACTAAGTGGGGAATCTCTTTGGACATGGCGGCCCACCATATGCTAGATTTAATTCGATTATCCATCTGGGCTTTAGTTAAGGGCTTTCAACAACAACAAAAAAAGTTTCTGGTCCCCCAGAGAGAGGGTAAGAGGGCAGCTGTGGATTTGACTCGATTTGCTCTTTCAACAAGGGGCAAATAATAAGCCATGATTCGATGAAATACACAGCGCTTACAGCAACACGGCAGCATTAGCAGGCTTGAGTATTTGGTGCAAAACTGGATTAAGCCTAATCCTTACAGTGCATTCTTGTTTTCTTCCAATGCAGATTGCTTGTAAATGTGTGTTTTTTTTTAAACTATAGGCTTAATCCATGAATCTGCAAGAGATCTGAGGTGTACAAATGAGTGTTTGCTTGACCTTATTTTCACTGATGTAACTATAATACCCTCTCTGTTCGATCATAACTAGGTTAGAGGCTATCTTTGTGTGGAATTTGTTGGATTATGAGCTGCAAAAGTGAAAAGATGTCATTTTTTTTAGAGGACCGATCCAACATTTAAAAGTGAGACGACCATGAATAGAACTACTATGGCAGTCCGTGCGTCTTTCTTTAGGAGGATCGCCTCAACAGTGTGTCAAGGGAAACCCCAAAGAGACAGGCAGGGGAGCACCTACATTGAAGCAAAGGCAGAGGAACACGTATGTGGTGTGCCAAAGTAGTGCTAAAATGAGGTGACTTGATAGAGGAAAGTAAAGCCCTGAGAATTTCTTTAAGTATTGTACCTTTATGTTGTTGTTCTTTTAGCTGTGTGTTCTTTGAAATTAGTTTAATATGTGGAGCAAACAACCCCGTCTACATAGCCATATAGCCTAGGTTCAGGCTTTTATTTTGTATGTTTCTACTCTCTTAAACTGAGAGTACTTTACTTGCTGTTTGAATTCAACCCAGCTTTTATATTTGAAATAGTTTCTGGTAGATCAAGGCTATGACAGTAACTTAACCACGGAAAAGGGAACTTGTTACGGATCAAAAAGTAAAGTAAAACAGCTCAAAGGAACGGTAACAAAATGAAATGTTTGATGACATTGAAAGATTGCACAGTGTTGTTCTTTTCCATTATTACGACTATAGGGAGACACTGAGTAGACATATCTACGGTGCTCTTAAAGGGAAAAAATAATGTGTTTAATTACGATTAAAAATATGTTATGCATTAATTTAAGACCAGAAAGTAACTGCCATTGTATGTGTCACCAGTTGACACTATGGAGAGTGATAATGCTTGTTTTAATCCATATAGCGCCCTCTGCTGGTGAAAGAAAACTTGCTAGTGTAATATAATGAAACACAAATGAAATGTTTTTGGACTTAAATCTAGTAATATCGGCGCATATCTGCGTTAAAAGTAGCCGATACTGATAGTCACAAGTTATGCTGATATCGGCCGATATTATCGGCTGGCTGATTTATCGGTTGGGCTCTAATAAATAAAATTAAAAACCTTGAAATTCCAAAATAAAAAAATGTCAAGAATAATATTTGGGGCTGGATTAGCAACATTCAGTCATTTACTGTTCTGTTATCGGCTGGTTTATTTATCGGTCGAGCTCTATTCAGAACATAAAGAATGTGTACTTCCAACCACTGAACTGGTTGTTTTAATGTAATGTTTATTCTTACTAGTCCAGTCTACTACTGACTTTAACTCTCTCTAAATTAGTATTTTAATTCATTTATATTTCCTTCTGATTCATAAATTGTGTAGTCATCCGCATACATTGGGATAACGATGACCAATATGTCAGAATTCTTTTGAATTAACAGCGTTAGAACTTTTTTTTTTTTTAGTCATATTTCTCAAAGAAAGTAATTTTATTTCACGTGTCAATACAGTATTGAATGCCTTGGTGTTTCCTCTGCAAAAGCCGGTATTCAAATGGTTTAATGAAAGCATTTTTCCAGCACGTCTGCAATCTTTTGAAGCCTCTCAGAAGGAATATATTTTCCAAGGCGGAATAATAAGGAGACATGATGAATACCAGGATGAGTGTCAGTCGGGCCAAATATGCAAAAAAAAAAAAAAAAAACACACACACACTGCCTCTATCTCCACGGGAGTATTATGGCGTTATGAAAACAAAAAAAATAGATGGTCCAGTCGTGACTTTCAAAAGTGTGGAAATGAGAAGCTTTGCTTTGGTGAAAAAACCTCTGAGTGACAAATCAAATGACGGCTGAATTAAAAGACACTGACTTACAAAGTGCAGCCTGCAAAACACACGCCTGCCAAGATGCCTTTTTTTTTTTCCTTCTCCATCATTGTGCTGCCCTCTACGGGTTCTTCTTCCAGCCTCCCTCCCTTTTTTTCCCCTCCCACCCCCTCCCTTCTCCACATCTCCTCCACATTACCATACCCCCTTAAAGACTATTGCACGCATTAAATTGCTTTTCATTTCCGCGCTGTGACAGTCCTGAGATTGGGGGATTTATGCGTTGTTGTTTTTTTGTTTTTTTTTTCCAATCCACGAGTGATTCCAGCTGTCATACGATGGTAATTGTTTCATAATGTGTTCGTCGCTGTAGGGGGATGCGCTGGTTTGTACCAACCAAGATCAAGTTCCACTAGTTGAAACGTCGGTGGTGGTGGTGGTGGAGGAAGATGAAGCTCGTGCAATAAACATGGGATTTCTCATGCCGAGTGAAGGACTGGAGGAAAAGGGTCGGATTCTGGAGGAGCAGACGCAACTGATCTCCGGTCGATTTGGACGCTCCTGCATTTGAAATTTGAAAAAAAAAAAAAAAAAAAAGGAGAGAGACCTTGGGCAAGATCTATACATAAACTGGTACACGCCGCACCACTGGCAGCGAGCAGACAAGGGGGATTCGTGCCTCTCTCTTCCCTCCTGCTTCGCCCAGTGCGCATGGATGAAAGTCACAGTTAAAATGCATGCGGCAAGTCCTGTCTGATGTGGGATTACGGAGTTTTTATTCGCCCCCTTTTCTCCACCATGTTCGAACTTTGGTTCTGGCTCTTTTTCCGAGATGATGCTGCTAAAATCGCTCGCTGCTGCTGCTGCTGCTGCTGCTGGAAGAACACAGGACCCAGCTTTGCCGCGCTGGCTGGCACGTTATTGGCCTGAATGAGACTGTGTGTGTGTGCTCTCCGATCGCCTGGTTTATGGAGCTAAGCACCGAGGAGACTTGACTTTTAAGGATTTTTTTTTTGTTTGTTTTCTTGTTTTGCTTCTTTTTTTTTTTTTTTTGTGTCGACAGCCGACGGAAGGGCGGGCGGTGAAAATCCATGTTTCCTCTGAGCTCGGAGGAGAAAGAAGGCGCACAGTCGTGATTTTCGGGATGCTTTGGCGTTTACCGGGATCAGAACGGTAAGAGGACACTGATTTGTTTTTTCCTTTTCTTACTTCCATATCTGCGCCGAGGCGGTTTTTTTTTTTTTGTAGAAAAAATTGGGGATCTGTCCGTGGTGCTGAAATCCCCCCCCCCCTTGTTCAGTTTGCATTGCTGAAGTTGATCCGGATTTTCGCGATGCTGTTAAGCAAGGTGTCTGCGGGGCTGCTGTGGCCAATAACAAGCATAGCGCCTGCATTTTTATGCCCACATTTATCATCACAGTTTTATTCGTTCCAAATAATCCCCCCCCCCACCCTCCCTCTCCTCCACCACCACCACCACCACCTCTCTGCGCAAGGATGCGGAGCGAAGATAGGCGCTCAAGTTATCTACATCATTTCCACAGGCGATGGGCATTTCTCGAGGTTTATGATAATAAACTCAAACGTAAGAGAGAGAGGGGGGGGGGGATGAAATGAAAAGTGTGTGCACCGCTTAGATGGAGCCACCACGCGGCAGGAAGCATGTCCTTGTATGTTGAAATGCGCATACTTTGAGGGAGATTTGCTCGGCTGATGTGTAGGCTTTTTGTGTTCTTTTAAGGAGCGCACACAGACCGAATGTGTGTGTGTGTGTGTGTGTGTGTGTGTGTGTGTGTACGTGTGTGTGTGTGTGTACGTGTGTGTACGTGTGAGTGTGTGCGCGGGTGCACGCGCAATCACGCGTCTGTGGCAGAGAGAGAGAGAGGGAGAGAGGAGGGGAAAGATAGAGGGGGAGACTATCTGTAACCTTCTATATAGCAGATGCCTTCAGAATACTTGATTATCGAATTATTTACCCCCCCGTCAACAAAAAAAAATGCTTTTTCGATCCGAGATGCGCCACGAGATCATCAACACTTTGCTCATTCGCCTTTGACCAACTCCTCTCGTTTCTTTTTTTTCGCCCGTGGGCAGAAGGAGGGCTGCGACTGTCGCCTTGTAGGCTGATATCCACATTTGCTATCAGCAGGCCGGATTTACAGGATGATCACGGACCGCTTCTCTCAGCCGATGCCTTTATGAGAACCGGCGTCTTTTGTATGTGTGTGTGTGTGTGTGTGCGTCTTTTTGTTTTAAACCCTGGACTAATCATAACAGGCGCATTAATTCCCCGTCCTCATGTTGTTTGGACGGAGGCGGAGAGAAGAGATCCGACAGTTTCCCCACTGTCGTCGGGTATCCAGGGTGAGTGAGGATTCTTATAGGAGTTGCATCTTGGAGATTTTTTTTCTTAATGTTAGTTTGGGGGGGAGAAAAAAAAACAAAGATTGCATCCCAAAAACAACAACAAAGAAAGCCACCCCCATGCCATATTTTTTTTGCCAGTGAGCCTTTATTTGTGGTCATCCTCAAGGGATCGAATTAGTAAATGACCAGATCTATCAGTCTGCACACCATGGATGGCAATGGCTTTTTTTTCTCTCTCTCTTTCTATCTCTCTCTCTCTCTCTCTCTCTCTCTCTCTCTCCCAAGATGGATTGGAATTCAGGCGAGCTATCAAAAATGCGCAGTGGCCATCCACCTCGGGTAGTTATGTTATTAACTTGATTGTATATTATCGAAGTATGCGTTTATGAGGGATCCATCCTGGTCGCTTGTTTCCCCTTTAAAAAACCATAACGACGCCGACATAACACATCTGCATTATGAGCGAGCATTAATAGGCCTACTCGTCTCTGCCCGTGTGTGTTTTTTTGTTGGGAATGCCTTATGCATACTTGTTCATCACGGTCGACAAGAGAGTCGACCGTGTTTGCATTTTTGTTTGTGTGAATCTTGCACTTGTTTCACTTTTGCATCCTATAAAAACCGAACTCGTCCTTTTTTTTCTTCTTCTTTCCCCTCCTTTAGATGACACCTCATACTGGCACCGTCGCGCTTGAGTGAGCTGGGGCATCCTCTCCCAGGAAACATGCATATCTGGATCCTAAAAATAATCCTTCTGATTGCATCATCTCTGGGGCTGGTCGAGATGTATGACAATTATGGGGAGATCTGCCGGAGCCTGTGTACGTGCGAGGAGAAGGAAGGGATCCTGACGGTGAGCTGCGAGAACAGGGGGATCATCCGACTGACGGAGGTCAGCCCGGTGCACTTCTCCATGTACCACCTCCTGCTGACGGGGAACCTCCTGAAGAAGCTGTCAGTCAATGATTTCATCAACTACACCGGGGTGACCATCCTGCACTTGGGGAACAATGACATCTCAGAGGTCGAGTCAGGTGCCTTCAACGGACTCCAGGGATTAAAACGGTTGCACCTGAACAACAACAAGATCGAAGTTCTAAGGGATGACACGTTTGCAGGACTGGAGAGTTTGGAATATCTACAGATTGATTATAATTACATCACCAATATAGAGCCCAATGCTTTGAGCAAGCTACACCACTTGACAGTGATGATTTTGAATGACAACCTGCTCTCGGTCCTGCCCCCCAACATCTTCCGGAATGTTCCCCTTACGCACTTGGACCTGAGGGGGAACAGGTTAAAAATGTTCCCCTACATCGGCCTCCTGGAGCATATGGACAAAGTTGTGGAATTACAGCTGGAGGAGAACCCTTGGAATTGCTCGTGCGAGCTCATCGCTCTGAAGGCCTGGCTGGAGAGCATAGCTTACACGGCCCTGGTGGGGGAAGTCGTGTGCGAGACGCCGTTCAGGCTCCACGGTAGGGACCTGGACGAGGTGTCCAAACAGGAACTCTGCCCGAGAAGACCCCTGGAAGATACAGTCAGGCCTGCGCCCCCGAGCAGCACCAATGGATATTACCAGACCACACCTGCTGCTGTAACAGCCTCCGCAACCTCCTCGGCTGTTTTCAGGTCCTCCTCTAGGCCTACCAAGGGCACAAGGCAATTCAACAGAACTCGGTTAAAGCCCACTTCCCGAATACCAGGTGGCAACCCTTACAATTATGGCCCGATTATTGCTTTTCAGACCAAATCTCCTGTGCCTTTGGACTGCCCCACTGCCTGCACTTGTAACCTGCAGATATCTGAAATTGGGCTTAATGTCAACTGTCAAGAGAGGAAGATTGAAAGCATCTCTGATCTAAAACCCAAGCCATACAATCCGAAAAAGATGTATCTCACTGGAAATTACATCCCCGTGGTGCGGAGATCAGATTTTGTTGATGCCATCGGATTGGATTTGCTTCACTTGGGGAACAACAGGATAAGTCTCATCCACGACCGGGCATTTGGGGATTTAACCAACCTGCGTAGGCTGTATTTAAACGGTAATCTCATGGACAGGCTTACAGGGGAGATGTTTTTTGGTTTGCAGAACCTGCAGTATCTTTATTTAGAATACAACAAAATCAAGGAGGTCGACGCGGGCACTTTCCGCTACCTCCCTAATCTCCAGCTGCTTTTCCTCAACAACAACCTCCTGAAAACCTTACCCGTGGGCATCTTTTCCAGCCTCTCCCTGTCCCGGCTCAACCTGCGCAACAACCATTTCCAAAACCTGCCCGTGAGCGGCGTTTTGGATCAGCTGAAGCTGCTGGTGCAGATTGACTTGTTCGAGAACCCCTGGGACTGCTCTTGCGACATCGTCGGGATGAAGATATGGCTGGAGCAGCTCAGCGCGGGGACCGTGGTGAACGAGGTCGTGTGCGAGACGCCCAGGCGCCACACGGGTATGGACGTTCGCTCGATCCAGTCGGAGCTGCTCTGCCCGGACTACTCTGACACTTACGCCTCGCCGACTCCCCCGACAGAAGAGCCGATGGACGACCGGGTCGTCACCACGAACGCCCCGCAGAAGTTCGACACCCCCAGTAGCACCGTCCCGCTCTCTGTCCTCATCCTCAGCCTCTTGCTCGTCTTCATCATGTCCGTCTTTGTGGCAGCCGGGCTGTTCGTCGTGGTCATGAAAAAGCGTAAAAAGTCCCAAAGTGACCGCACCAGCACCAACAATTCAGACGTCAGCTCTTTCAACCTGCAGTACAGCCTCTACAGCAACAGATCGTGCCCTAAGGTGAAGGCCCCGGTCGGCCACGTCTATGAGTACATCCCCCACCCCATGGGTCACATGTGCAAAAACCCCATTTACAGGTCACGGGAAGGGAACACAGTTGAGGATTACCGTGACCTCCATGAGCTCAAGGTCACCTACAGGAGTACCCCGGATGATGACAGGGATAGCAGTACTATGAGGAGTCCTGCATACAGTGTAAGCACCATCGAACCACGTGAAAACCCCTCCCCCGTTCAGGATGCAGACCATTTCTTCAGAGGCATCCTCGAGCCGGATAAGCAGCCCCCTCATCCGTCCATGGCATCCATTCCAGCAGGTGCCAATTTAGAGTACAAGTACACAGGGCCTGTGGCGTACACGTACAACCCCAATTTTGATGTGAGACGTCAGTTCTTGCACCCGGAGAGGATAAGAGAAACAGTGCTCTACGGCACAGCACCCAGTACTGTTTACGTGGAGCCCAACAGGAATGAGTATTTGGAGCTAAAAGCTAAACTCCAGTCTGAGCCCGATTACCTCGAAGTTCTTGAGAAACAGACCACCTTTAGCCAGTTCTGAGCAACAGAATCATTGACGTAAAGAAAAAGCATTTTCTCTCTTGACCCTCCTTGGAAGGAAAAAAAAAAAAGGCCTGGCTCAGTTTTTTTTTTTTTTTTAAAGGGTGCCTTGGCACAACACAAACTAGCAAATGTGACGGAGTTTGAAAACGGGGTGTGCCGAACAATCTTTATTCTTATTTCTGAAACATGACATTACAGGAATGGATACAGCTTTCTTGAAAACATTGGATGAACAAAATTGCTCTACTTAACTGATGATGCAAAATCTATTTTTCTATGGTGAAGATCGAATAACACACAAAATGTAAGTGTACAGGTAAAAATCTTGCCCAACTTATCATTTTCAGGAATATAACCATACATAAGGTATATTGTGAATCAGAAAAAGAAATGTTTATAAGAATCACTCCTGGACAAAAAAAACACTGTACAGCAGATCATCCAAACTGTGTCGGACTATTTTCTGCTGTAGTCTGTAAGTAAGTATTTATTGATATAATCTGCCATGTCTTTTCAAAAACTTTTGATTCTACATCAATATTACCTGTGTCATCATACTCCATGAATCCTCCTGGGAAAAAAAAGGCTTATGTTTGTAGTTTCATTTACCGTAGCTCTGCATTGTAAAAGTGGCTTTTTTTGAGAGTGGCACACCCCCTTCCCCAATCCCCCCCCTCCCCCCAAAATTTCCAACAACAACAAAAAAAGACTGCGTCATTTGAAGAAGATGATGGAGGATAAAAAAAGTGTCTTTGTATGCTTTCTGCACTTTTTTGGAAAATTGGAAGGCGATGTTAGCCTTCGATGAGCTCTCATAAAGGAGATTATTATATTAAAAATGAATATGGGTATTCATTCTTAATATGTAGAATTGATGTGTTATCAAACCAAGTCCAGAAGTATGAATTATGTTGTGTAATACTGATATTTTAATCAATGTAACACCTATTTTTATACAAGCATTCGCAGATTCTCTATCCCTTATTCGATTTCATTTGTTTCGATTGCTTTGCACTTATTGCACTATATTGACCAAACTATGTTATTGTCATCAAATAAACATGATGTCAGGTTCATATAATGTGCTTATGAGGAAGGTTGGTTGGAAATTAAGTGAAGGGGGTTTGGCCCCTGGTGACCCCAATTGGGAAAAGTGGTATAGATAATGAATGGACCAATGGTTTGGTCCAGTATCTGATTTCAGACACCAAACAGGAAGTCGTAGGTATCTTTGGATCTTTTATGCTTGAAATAGGAGTTCCATGTTTAAAAAAGTAATGCTTCTTTCTAATCAAATGATAATAATTTTCTATGTTGTGGGCTGGCAGAAGATGAAGATACAGTATACATGCCTCACTCAAAGGGCCAGCGAGTGTCTCAGTGAGGATTACAATCAATGGGTTTCAATCAATGAGCATTATCTGAGGCTGTCCCTCTGCAATTATTCCAATGCAACCACATATGCTGCCTGGCAAGCAACTACTTGGTCATTTATATAAACATCATTACAGTCGACTTGCAATTAAATGCTTTTTTAGCAATATGACAGAGTCGATGGGTTTGAACTTTGACAGTGATTAAGACCTACAGCTTCTGGACTCACCATCAGGTGTCTTTGCCATTTCTAATTATGTCACTTTTAATTGGGGTTGGTCCAAGTGGAGCTCTTTCTTAACTTTAAAAAAATACATATCATGGAAGAAAAATGAACAATCTGCTTGTTTTTTTCCCTTTCTTTTAAGCTTTTGTTGGGAATTTCCATTCCTACTGAAGCCCTGAGAGTATTTGCGCCCATATGTTTAATCGTACACCATTTTACGATGACAACGAGTACGTTACAGTTTTTGTTTTTTTGGAGATCTTATCTCAGTAAGCTCGTTACCTCAGGACAGCCATGTTGGTTTTTCCTGCTAAAAGATGTTAATTCAGGCGTTTCTTCAGGATTCAACGACATTATGTAGTTATCATGGGAAAACCAGCATTGTTATCTGAACGTAATGGATCAAACCTTCATTTATCATCAAAAGGACATTGAGGAGTCTCTCATTTCCAACGCTGTCAAGGTTACACACCACATACAATCAATTACAAAGCCAATAGAAACCAATTCAAACACCTACAATTAGAAACAAAGAGGCTAGAAATCAAAATCCTGAACTATTCAGCTTAGAGTTTGCTGGAGGGCGTTCCATGAGTTTGGAGTATCAAATGCAGATTTACCCAAGTCGCTGGAATAAGTCGAGATCTCATGTAAAGTTTGGTTCTTTCTTCAAACTCTATTAACTCATTATCTTGGAATAACGAAGCTGGTTTTCCCATGTTCATGGGTATATCTCAGTCAGAAAATAAATCCTTATCACTGGATACCAGCATTATCATTATTACTATTATTATTATTATTATTATTAGTAGTAGTAGTAGTTTTTTTCCCTCAAGATCTTGGCTAAATGCTGCTGGTTGTCCTTTGAAAACCAGTTAATTTCAGTCTTGTTATTGGGATCTACATTCCCATCACATGATTTAAAATTCAGAATGTTTCTCAATATCCTATGAAAACTGTTTGTTATCACTGGAAAACCGATATTGTTATAGCGAGGATGAGATTAGTCAAGATTTTGAGTGAATTTTGATGGTTATTTTTCCAAGATTTCGACTTCAATCTTATTATCTAGGGATAAGAATGCTAGTTTTCCCATGAGAACCAGTTCATTTCAGTTTTTTTCTCAAGATTTGGAGAATAAGCTCATCATGAGGAAAACCAGTGTCAGCCTGAGATAAGGGGAGATCTCGAGTAAAATTTAGATTGTTTTCATGAGATCTCGACTTGTTATCTTGTGGATGTCGAGTTGCAATGTGTGACTTTCAGTATGGTTTATGCCAATACCTATCCCAGCGTTGTTCTCCAGAGATAAAGAAATAAAGACCTCAAAATCTCTAAAAAAAACAACCAGAGACAAAATAATTAAAATGATCCACATGGATGTATGTCCACTTCAGGCTACATACATCCCTTTTTCCAGGCAGGACTAATGTCAATGTGTCTTTTAAGTCTATTCTTTCTGGTTTCTTTGTTTTGAAAAGGAAGAAAAAAAATTGGGGGTCTTTTGGAATGTATCACAAATGCTGGCTGGAGGGGGGGGGGCGTGTCTCTGTCTGTTTGATTGACAGCAGCTGGCAGCCCGCTGGAGTGATTTGTGTTCCACCGTAGGGAGGACAGAGACGGAGTAAACAAACTTGCAGCCCCGCTGTCTGCACGTCACAATCCGCATGCTTGAAAAGGAAGCCTCGCCGACATTTCACTGGATTGATGTGAAATTTGCAGCTTTTGCAACATTTGCCTGCGATTTACTGCAGAGCCAAGCTGGTAGAGCTTCTCTCTTCTTTGTGAATGTGTTTTTTTCTTGCTCACACTAGAGGCGAAGGTGCAAGATCATGACGTCCAGACTCTCTCTCTTTGTGTTGTGTAGCATCTACTGCTGTCTGGTTCATTTTAATGTACTGAAACAAATCCTTTTGATTATCTAGATCGGGTGGTATTTCGCCAAATGGATGCAAAAACTAAGGGTTTGAAAATGGAAACTAAAAAATCTAACATGTACATTTCCTCTTTTTTTTTTGCTTCCATATTTTTCTGCAGAAATTAGCAATTTCATATGCTGATGCAAACACTAAAAAATAAAAAGGTGCAGTTTAATTTCAGATGGACTTTAGGTTCCTCTTCAATTGACCCACTTAGATCCAGTATGCAAAGTAGGCCTATAAAAATGCAAAGGATGCAGCGTGCGACCATTTTCAGTGTGCGGTTGAGCATCACAATTCAGGGGAATTCAACGCTGCCCTCACCGAGACAGGCGGGCATCTCTGTTTGCAAAAAAAAAAAAAAGCCTAGTTTGCAATCAGTTCTTTTTATTTCTTCCTCATAATCACTCGTACAGAGACTACTACTGTACTGCAGGTATTGTTTTTTTCTGTCAGTGTTTTATAACCAGCATTCTGACATACTTTAAGTGAGGTGGCAGCTGTCTCCTCTCAATGACAAAAAAAAAAAAAAAAAAAGCATGAAGAATGAAAACCGGGGCCTGCTCAGGGCACCTCTTCTTTTTTTTTTTTTTTTTTTTTGTTGGATCTTTTCATAGAAGGCCAGAATGAGAACAGAAGGCACCATTTGGGAGATGAGGAGTCCTGGAACTGAGTGTAACTGTGGATGTGTCATACATGTAGCAGGGGATGTGAATCATAGCCAAGAAGTGCGTACTTGTGTGTGTGTGTGTGTGTGTGTGTGTGTGGAGTCGCTCTGCGTCTGTGGCCTTTTGGATGGCACCATGACAGGCTCTGACATGGATTTTGTATTTGTTTGTTTTTCACGCCAACATGGGAAAAACTACAAATTAGTGAGTGGGGGGGTACAGATCGTCAACTTACCTCATCAGTGGAATGAAAAGTTTTTTTCAAAATGTAGCACAGTCTCCTACTTAGTTTGCTCTAATTTCCTAGAATGTGATTTTTTTTTTTTGCTTTGAAAGAACTCCAGATAAGAAGGGGGGGGACTCATTGAGCACAATTACATAATCACTGAATCATGCATTCCAAATGGGCTTGTTGTTACTGTATGCATCGTGTGTGTGTGTGTGTGTGTGTGTGTGTGTGTGTGTGTGTGTGTGTGTGTGTGTGTGTGTGTGTGTGTGTGTGTGTGTGTGTGTGTGTGTGTGTGTGTGTGTGTGTGTGTGTGTGTGTGTGTGTGTGTGTGTGTGTGTGTGTGTGTGTGTGTGTGTGTGTGTGTGTGTGTGCAGGCCTCCCACCCAAACTCCCAGTGTGGAGGAAAAATGTATCACTCTTATGACCCGGCGTTGTGTCCCAGAGTAATGGGTGCATGAAGCATCACACTGCAGGAGGCTATTGCATGTGTGTGTGTGTGTGTGTGTGTGTGTTAGAGAGAGAGAGAGAGAGAGAGTGTGTATGCAAAGAGAGAAGGAAGGAGGAGGGAAAAGGGGGGGGACTCTTGCCAGTTGAAATAATGCTTTTAATCAGCCAATGGGCTCTTTAGGTCTTAACACAAATGGAAGCATCAAGGAAGGGCAAAGAGTTTATTATGTCTTCCTGGATTATTCCATTTAATCTCTTATAAGTGTGTGTGTGTGTGTGTGTGTGTGTGTGTGTGTGTGTGTGTGTGTGTGTGTGTGTAGCTTTCTTATGTGCACTTAGTCTGCAGTTCTAACTATTTAAAATCCTCAAAAGGCAAAAAAGCAAGATATTTCTGCAGTGGTCAACATCTGTATTCTGGAACAGGAGGAAAGATCTCAGATGAAATATCAGGATATGTGTTGCATCATGCTTCACAAGAGCCCCCCCCCCCCCACACACACACACACACACACACACACACACACACACACACACACACACACACACACACACACACACAACCACCCCAGATTTATGGCTAAACCTATTGTACCGAATCCAGCGTTGGAGCTGATGCAACACGAGGCGTGATGTACGTGCAAATCCAGCTGTCAAACAAAGAGAGTCTCTCACTCTTTGCTGAATATATACGTGCAGCACACAGTGAAAGAAAGTGTTGGAAGTTTTTCAGCTCCAGGGGAAGAAAGGAAAAAAAACAAAAAACACATAGATACGAGCGTCTTTCACGTAAAAAAAAATACAAATAAAGGAGAGACAGTGATGGACAGTTTGGGATCCGGTTTTCTTTTACACTTTTTGCTTTTCACACCATTTGAGAGGAAATCAATGCAGAATGGTACAGCGCGTGAAAGGCGGCCAAAGCTGCAGGAAGTGTTGGCTCATCACTCGGCTATTTTCAGATCGCAGAGTTTAACTTGGAGGAAACTATTTTTTTTCCGCTCCCCCCCCACAAACATTGAACTGAAAATACAAGGCTAATTAAACTTCTTCCGGATTTGGATTTGGCTTCCATTTGTTTCTACGCGTTGGCTATCATCACTTATCAGATGGTGTTGGCAGAAAGTGTGTGTTTATGGTAAATAAACCAAACCATGATGCTCCACAAGCACAGGACTGCTTTGAGGTCCCTGGGGCAAAAGTAAGCGGTGGTCCCCCATTTACTCCCCACTCTTATATCCTGTTACAAGAAGTATCAACTACTGTCTGCTAACTATTAAATCATTGCTTACACATTTTCAATATTTATTTTAAAAGCAAATTAACGTCATCTCTGTAGTGCAACCTTTGTCTTTTGATGCTGCTTTCCAATTTGTTCATCCGTCCTCAGAGACGCTGCGTCTCCACAGGCAAGGCAGGCAACTGCTTGCGGGTACCCTACTGGGGGTGGGGGGGGGGTCCCTTAGGGCTGATAAGCTTTTAAAAAAAACAGCAGTGGCTCAAAATGTGCAAAGTTTGCAATGACAGGAGGAACCCCCCCCCAGGTGGCCCATTCTGACAGCACTCATTTGTATAAAAGTAAATGACTGAATTACGCTTGTCTAGCCTTAAATATGGGAGAGAGACTTCAATAACATCATCAAAAATGTGTTGGTGTCACGATGATGGGAATGAACGCAGTTTGGAGGGCCCCCTTGTCAGTTTTTGCCTCAGGCCCCCAACAGACTCCAGAATCGCCTCTGTACATCACAGCATGTGCTTGTGCAATGGATTTGATGTATTAACTTTTAGCTTCAAATTAGCTTTCTTCACTTATCAGATGTTGTTGACAGAATGTGTGTGTTTATTGTAAAATAAGTAAAACCAGCTTGATGCTACACGTGTACAGGGCCGTATTAGACTGCCTTGGGGCCCTGGGGCGAGCTGTCCCCCCTTTAACCCACCTAATCTTACCACTCACTTTTGTCATCTGTTGTTGGCAGGAATCTTGACTACTTATTTATTTGTCATATTTTGACGAGCGATTGATGTATTTACGAATATACAAAAGCATCGTACCCCCTTAAATGGCCCCTTCTGACAGCACTCACTTGTTTAAAAGTAGACAAATGTCGACCCCTAAATATAAGGGAGAGACACTTTATAACTTCCGCTTAAAGAATGTGTTGGTGTCACATTATTATGACATCATGGGGATGAACTCTGTTGGAGGGGCCCCCTGAACATTTTTGCCTGGGGCCCCTACAGACTCCAGAATCACCACTGATATTTAGTATATAACTAATTGTGTTGGACTAGTAATTAACGGGCCCTTTTGATTGATTGGAATGACTTGCAAATCTGGTATGTTGAACCTGTCCATTTGATTTCCCTTATTTTTACCTTCCCACCCAGCATGCCAACAGTATGCAGAAATGCTAATTAAGCTAATATGTGGCCACCCAGCGTATACCGAGACAGATAGAGGGGGTGGACACATTCCATATGCTCGAGCGACGCCTCACCTTAACCCTCCCCCCCCCGCCCCCCCCATCGGAGCTGCCTCGTCCTCGGCTCAGCCTCGCTGCTGCTCGCCTGTCCCGGTCCCCGCGATGATGTGAGCAATTGAGTTCAAGGAGATCCGGGTAATTGAGAGGGCAGGGATGGCATCTGACAGGCACCGATGGCTCCAATGATTACTTTAATCAGAGTGGTTAATGGAATTCCTTCAGGCATGTAGAAATGCTCAAATGTTCATCAGCGCTCAAGCAGGTTTTTTTTTTTTTTGCCCCCACCGACGCCTACCCTCTTACCCCATGTTGCTTTAATTACTGATCAGTTGTCTCTCCTTTTCATCTATTGGTTTCTGCACACACTTTGCATCTGGTTGTGTGTTTTAACTCTGGTTTTCTCGTGCAAATCCCATGAGCAAGGACATACAGTATCACTGTTTTATGGACAGGACTTGAGTGTTTTTCTTTTACATGAAATGTCCCCTGTTAGCATTTAAAGAGATGGTCAAGGACTCAGTCTTATGAAATCTGTATGAAATCAATCATAAACATGAAGCACTAAAGTTTTACGAGTCGTGAAAGTGTATCCAATTACATGTCCGGCTTTTATTTATCCAGGGAAATGATTATGTATGATATTCGAGGCAGTAATATCTGTTCTATCATTTGCCCCCTCTCTCCACCCCCCCATCCCCCCCCCCCCCCCAACTTTAAAATTCAATCTCAACCGTGAACTTTATTATCAGAGGCTCAGTTAACACTCCCACTGTCCAGCCTGTGCCGAATTAACTTCAGGACATTTAAAAGCACAGTCTGCACCCAGTCTCTAATGCCATCTGCCATATAAAACATGGCTTCTCTGGCTTGGTGGCTTTTTATTCTGTTTATTAAATGTTTGAGGACTTTTTTTGTTCGCATGATGTTAAAACCAAATATGAGTTTGAAATGAATTCTGGTTTCTTAATTGTGTTAAAATTGGCTAAAAATGGGCCTTTGGTTTTTTGGCTCATGCAGCCTTCTAAAGGGCATCAAATGTAGGCAGGACGTGTTCTCTTGGTTGGGGTTTTCCATTATTGTGTTCCATGTTCATCTGCTTTGGTGTTTGTCATTGCAGAATCTGCATTGTCTAAATGGAGAAAATTGGAAAAAAAAGTGATATTCAGAAGGATAGTGTTGAGAATGCTGTTTGATGTATGGATGTAAACTTGGGCGTCATAGAGGGCGGAAAAAATGGGACTGGGACCCCACTGGAGAAAGAGGCT